AACGAGAAATTATGAAAGAAGAAAGAAAAACTGGTGGAAAAACATCTTCACTGAAGGACAAGAAGAGAGTTTTTGTAAGTGATATAAGTGCACATGCACAGTTTAATAAAAGTGTTTATATGATGTTTGACTGTGTATTTGCCTACTAGTCCTGTGAAGATGGGATGAAAAAATGTGTGGTGTTCAAGTGCCCCCTGCAGGGGCTCGATGGTACAGTAGTCGTATTGAGATCCCGTCTGTGGAACTCAACCTTTATTGAGGTAATAAACAGCATTTTTATTGTTTTCACATGTCTCTTCATGTGAGATAAATCAAATCTCATGATTTTGCTTCATTAATAATTGTTTTTTGCACACAGGAGTATGCCCCTAGTTCAACTTTGTCAGTAAAAGCCACACTTGAATTTGATACTCAGAGGGAAAACGTCATACTGACCAATCAAAACACGAATGTAAGCAATTCAAGCTGCATAACGACATTAACCTTATTGCTGTGTCGGTCCCAACTCAATCTCTCGGATTTCCTCGCTTTTATGTTTTTTTCCAGGTGAATGTGAACGTGTCTCCTGACGATGAAGCAGCTAAGCATCAGGGAGGAGTTCCCTGGTGGATCATCCTGGTGGCAGTTCTCATAGGACTCTTGATTTTGATTCTACTGGTTTATCTGCTGTGGAAGGTGAGAACATGGATGTCACACCTACAGTTACACAATGGACATGGATATGAGAAAAGAACATGAATTTAGAGAACCCCTCATGAAAATTAGCCAATTAGAAAAGGTAAATGAAGCCTGAAAATAAAGCTAAAGATACTTAAAAATAACATTTTCACCTTTTTTGCTAGATTTTTATGCTCTGATTGCCTTTCTCGGTTTGGTTTTATTGTGAGTATATGAGATATTGTTACACTATATGGACAAAAGTGTTGGGCCCCACCTCTTATTCTTTGAATTCGAGTGTTTTCAGTCCAATCCCCACAGGATTATAAAGTCAAGCACCTAGCCATGCAGTCTACCTTTGCAGACATTTGTGTGGAAACATGGCCTGTATTTGTATATCGCTTTACTTAGTCCCTATGGGACCAAGACACATGGCTTTCAAAACAAGTATTTCGGTGCCTTGACATTATTTGCCAGCCTAGGTCTGGTCAGCTGTAATAAAATCTGCCAACCGGCTCCATTAATAAAAACGTTCCCCCTTTTTTCACTTTACAGAAGCTGAAGTGTAAAAATGAAAATTCACTCTTTAATTATGGCAAAGAGCTCTGCACTGGAGAGCTTGTCAGCTCTAAATGATAGTTTATTGTTAGATTTGCATTAAAAGTTTCCATCCATATAAATCTGTTATTTGGTGACTAAAATACACTGTTGGGTAAACTTACTCAGGGTCTGGGTGGGTCATACCAAAACCTGGACATATAACCGATAATAAAACTCGCCACAACACAGTTTTAAGAAGGTGTAAATCATAACCCGAAGTTTAATATTTTCTACACGTTTGTTATTTGTCATTTAACATCTGCACATCAACACTGGACTCTGGAGGAAGTATTTGCTTTAAAAATGTATGTTTGCTCCTGCTGGACACGTTTGTAACACTTCATCACCCTTGCTCCTCCTCAGTGTGGTTTCTTCAGGAGACCATCTAAAGACCAGTACAATGCTGCATATCAGAAGGCAGAGATCAACATTCAGCCGTCTGAAAAAGACAAACTCAGTGCTGAGGACTGATATATGCTCTCTGAACGTGGGTAAAGTCAGCATGGCGTGTGGTTACTGCAGTGACTAATGAACTTGCTTTTAAGCAAATTCTGCTGACTTGTTGAAGGAAAATTCAAATCAGACTCATATTGCACGTGTTATTTGTGGGGAAAAAGTCACTTTGCTCCTAAATTGAGTGAAATAGACATGCTGAAGAGAGATATTTTTCATCTACATAAGAAAATAAATGTATATATATTTTTTTATTAATAAGCTCTTTGTGCAATATGGTTCTGTGGATTTTTCAAGAGTAATGCATTTTCTCACCAGTAGACTTACTAGTTTCCCCTAGTGCTTCTGCAGGCGCTTTTCCTGACATCCCTGCACCTGTTCTGCTGCAAAAGTCAAGGTTGCAAGCATGCTCTGTTGCCACTGAGCATGCTTCCTCAGCATTTCTGCACAGCTCCTTTACAGACTGTGGGAATATTGCTGATACATTTTTTTTTAAAGTTATTAATGCATTGTGTTTTCTTTAAAATTTCTCTTTCCTAGTGTGGATTCTTCAAACGCTCCAAAGAAAACGACAGCGTCCCTCGTTACCACGCAGTGCGGATAAGAAAGGAAACTCTTGAGCACAAAGATGGAAAAGTGAAACACGATCCTTTTGAAAAAAAGCAGTGGATGACGACTTGGATCGACAATGAAAGTTACTCATGACCTTTTTCTGCTCAGATCTTTGAACAAAGACAAAACTGATCTTAATTAATAATTTCATTAACATGTTGCTCGGATATAGTTTTTTTTTATTGCTAAATGCAGATAATGCTTTTTACACTGTATAGCCTATGAACTATTTTTTCTAATCGTTGTATATATTTGAATATGTCTGCGCATTTTATATTTATACTTTTTTTTTTTTGAAAAAAAGAAATCAAATCAAGCAACCAAGTTTTATCCACTCATGTCTGAAGCTGAATAACAACGGGCAAAGTTTACTGCTGTTTTTAAAGTTGTACTGTCTCACTGGAAGCCTGAAGTCTGTTCACAGAAGGTACAGCCAGTCACTGTAATATGAATGTAAATGAGGTTTTTTTTTCTGTGAATGGTAAGTATGTAAATTTTCTGTTTTTTCTTCTTTGAAATGACATTTAGGTACATTGTCTTGTCACAAACAATAGATATTTGAAAATAACTGTGCGAGTCTAATGTGAGAGCAGCTCCATTTTTCCTCTCTGCTCACATTAGCTCACCTTGGTTCTCACATATGAACTCCATCTACTGTACTACGAGCCTCACTTTTTGGTCTCTGTGGGGAATTCAAAGCGAAGACGGTGAAAATCAAGTGAAACGCTTTAATTCAAAATGCCTTAAAAAAAAAGTTTTTGCCAAGTAAAATAAAAATGCTTAAAGAAAATCTTTTCCTGTTGAATTTTCTTGTCATGAACATATCTGACATGAAAGCAGGACTGAAGTCAGTTATCTTTATAAAGTTATTTCACATTCAGCTGTAACAAACTCCTTTCTAATAGCGAGTTTTCAGATAGTCAGAAATCCAAACACATGAAGTATCTGATTCAATTCAATCTTATTTATGCACTGCCAAATTACAACAACAATCACCTCAAGGAGCTTTATACTGTAAAGTAGACCCCACACTAATACAACGGGGAAAACCCCAACAATCATATGATGCCATATGAGCAAGCGCTTTGGTGACAGTGGGAAGGAAAAACTCCTTGCAGGTTTTACTACTAAACGTAGTAAAACCTGCAAAACTACCACTGCCACTGCTTTTATGTTAGAACATGCATTTATATGTACTGTGTTTGGAGATATCACAACATGAAGAACTTAGTATGTTTTAAAAAGTGTTCTATAAATAATGGTATTATAAATTATTGTTCAGAACAAGATCTGAAAACTCTTTGCTGACGATAAGAGCCCGACTGATTTAGCAGCCAGTATTAGTTATCTGCTGATCTATCCGTATGAGCATTTTTAATGGCTGATAAATACAAATTTTAACCTTTAAAGTCTGAACCATGAAGCAGTTGTTAGAAAACTCTCATTTTTGAAAATTGAGTTTCTAGCCATTAAAAAAAAATTTAAATATTATTTTGCATACATGAGTTTTGATTTGTATTATACTTTCTTCATTTGCATTTTTTATTTATTGATTCCTTTTTGTAATTTATTGTTTAAATAATATAATTTACCTAGGTTTTAAGGCGTGGGGGGTGGGGGGCATTATTTGTCTTCAACTTCCAGACCCAGTCTGCCCGACTCTTCCATCCCAGTCAGGCAGAATTTAAATGAGTAATTACATAAAACATAACAAACAACTATTTATGGCACTAAAAATTGGACTCTACTGGCAGAATCACTTCCTCTTAATAAAAGCTGTAAACTGAAGAGTTAAGAGGCTTCCAGCACAATTTGTCTGCATTTTTAAAAAATAACCAGCAAATGAAAACTGAAATCTTAGCTTGGCTATGATCATCATCAGAAATGTATGGCTTTGCAAAGTGTAAAAAGTCCAGTGAAATCACTAGTTACTCCAGATTTTCAATGAAATGTGTTTTGGGGCAGCTTCACTACACAGGAGTAGAAATTGATAGAAAGCTTTTCTTTTAACTTGCTTTTTAAAAATAAATTTCATTGATTTTTTTTGTTTTTAAAATTCAGTTTCATTTTGGTTCGATTCCATTTGGCCCATGAACCAAAATGAGTTTGACACCCTGCGCTAGAGGCTAAGCTAGCCGACTTACCAACAAGTGCCAAAATCGGGAAATAGCACTTTAATGAAGTCCCAGAAACTTAATTTAGACCCTGATCCTTGTGATGGAAGCGCTTTGAGTATCACCAAATGGTTCCTGCGGGAAATGATTACTGATGCAAAAAGTTTCAGCTGCCAGTCTAACAAAATAAAAAGCAACAAATCCTGCATCCATTTCAGTCCAAGTATTATGTGGCCTGTTCAACGTGCCATGTTGACAACCTTTGAAAAACAGTTATCTTTAGTAATAAGAGATATGGCTTGTTTGCACCAGAAGGTGGCATGGTAGAAGTTCATGTTTGCCTTATTTGTCCATCAACAGTTTGTTTTTTGTTTACTGCACAAACTTAAATCTGTAAATAGAACAAAACAATTCCATCCACACCTCTCTTATCAAAATATATATGCTTAGCTGTAATTCAGCTATTACAGGGGCACCGGATATGTGAACAAAGCACTCCCTCTGACACAGAAAATAATTTTGTATTTAATGCCCGATAATTAAAAAACAAAACAAAAAAAAGACTTCCATTCCAAAGGTTTATTTAATCAGACTTTTTAGAACAAACATAACAATTGACATAGAAGGAGAGGATCCTTTTCACTACTCTAAAGGCAAATGCACTGAAAATATCAATCTTTATGCAACCAAGAAAACTCAAAATAACAGTAATGAAGGTTGGATCTACACCATCTAAAGCCCTGATGACACCCCTGATTACAGAGTAAAAATGTAAGCACACAAGTAAAAGTATTTACTGCAGATCAGTCGAATGTTAACCGGAAGGTTTTCTCCTGCTCCTTTCGTTGGGTGTCGCAAAGTTTGGACACTTCCTCGACCTTTCTCTGCAGCAGAACAGAGTTCTGATCGATCCACTGAAGTGAATCCATGTGGGCGTTGAGGATCTTACAGATCTGCTGCAGCTGATGATGAAAAAAAGGAAATTAGACATGAATTACGTGAGCAAATCTTTGTTAATCTTATCGATTATCAAAAACTGGAGGTGTCATCTTACCGGATCACTGGTGTCAGCCGGGCCGCTGGACGTGTTCAGGTGCTCGATGATCTCCTTCAGGTCCTGCGACATCCTCTTCAGCTGTGCGTCCACGTTCTCAGCGAGCTTGTATGTTCTTTCACGCTCCTCGTCGGCGTTCTGCATGTAGATGGTTCCACTTTGCTCTTTTACCGACTCCTCGAGGGGGCAGAGCAAATCTTCCAGCTCCTTCTGTTGGGACAGGATGAAATCCAGCTCCTGGTTCAGCCTCCTCTGATCCAGCTTCACTTTCTCCATCTCCTTGTGGAGGGATGTGATCTTCTCTCCGTTCTCCACCAGCATGCGGTCCCAGGCATTCACCTGAGTTGCCTGCTGTAAGAAATGTCTCTCCTGGTCCTCCAGCTCAAGACTCCACTTGTTAATGAGCCCCTCTAGCTGGGCATAGGTCATCACTGGAGGAGCTGTGCTGGTGGTGCTGGCAGTGGTTGTGGCTGAAGCAGCTGTCGTGGTGCTTGTGATCGATGAAGTTTTGGCTCCCAGCAAGAAGCCTGTAACAGTACCTGTCGTGGAGGCTGCAGCTGTAGCGGTAGAGGGGGGGGCAGATGTGGTGGTTGCTGGAACCAGAGGTTTGATCATAAAAGTCAAACCTCCACCAGTAGCCGTGGTTGTTGCTGTGGATGTGCTTGCTGCTGAAGCTGAAATGGCATTGAAAGCGAAGCCTGGACCTGCAGCTGTGGCAGCAGCTGTTGTGACAGGCTGAGCGAAGAGAGAAGGCCCGAAAGATGGTGGGGCCTGGGTGGATGCAGGAGGAGCTGGGGTTGATGACGGTTTAATCCCAAAGGTAAACCCTCCACCCTGTCCTGTTGCGGCAGCGGCAGCGGCAGCAGCAGCAGCAGCAGCGGTGGAGGTTGGCTGGGCAAGGCTGGAGGGAGCACTGGTGCCGAAGCTGAAGCCTCCACCTGTGGTGCTGGTGTTGGTTGTGGTGGTGGAGGCTGCCGCTGATGTCACCTGGACCTTGGTAGCTCCGAAGCTGAACCCTCCAAATGAGAGGCCACTTGGTGCTGTGGAGGCTGCTGGTGCGGCTGTTGCTACAGGCTGGGTTTGAGCCTGAGATGCAGCTCCAAAGGTGAAGCCCCCTCCTGCAGGTGCACTAGCGGTGGTCTGCGCAGACAAAACTCCACCCAGAGTGAACCCCGACCCTGCTGCTTGAGTCGCCGTGGAGCCCAAAGTCAACCCTGAAGCTGCTGTTGTGGTTGGAGGAGCTGCATTCATTCCAAAGGTTGTGGTGGGTGCCCCAAAAGAGAAACCCCCGCCGGCTGCTGTGGACTTTGCTGGGGTGCCAAAGCTGAAACCACCGGTGGGGTTGGTAGTGCTCTGGGTCTGGATGGATGAGCCGAAAGTGAAGCCCCCTCCGGTGGCTGCAGGAGTGGACGTTGTCAGTCCAAAGCCGGTGGTAGGGGCCGGGGCCGGGGCCGAGGCTGTGGTTTTCTGCGTTCCGAAAGTAAAGCCCGAAGAGGGCTGCCCAAAGGTGAAAGCGCCGCTCATTTTCTCCTTAAAGATAAAAAAATAACATTATTAAAATCGACGAACGCACAAAATGGTTACTTCCTCGCTGAATCATTTAGCTTTTGGCGGGTCACAAACACACAGACCAGGGGGAACTTACCGAAGAATCGGCTTCTCTTTTACGACGGCTTTCTAGACGTTGGCGTCTAATAAAGTTGACTACACCCTTCTTAATGTCACTTTAGTCGTAACAACGATAGAAAACTGGCAACATATCCTTCTTAAAAACGTGGCCAGCTGCCTCGACACTTTTTCAAGTAGGCAGTTCAGTAGTCAACTAAAGGAAATGACGGCAGTTGGCCTGAAAAACAAGCTGTTTATTTGCCCTGTATTTTGTCTAGCGGAGTACAACCCGCCTTTCTTAGTAATATTGGCAGGTCTAACGACCAATTAGAATTATAATTTCAGACAACTCAAACTTTGATTGGTTTGGCTTGTCACCTAGCAGACATACGTCGGAGATTAGGACGCTCACGTTATCAAAGACCAAATTAACAACAAGAGGTTTTACGTTTGTACGCAGTGCGAGCTGCTTCCCACCAAAATCGAAAGTTACATAAAATGAACATTATTCTATAAAGTTAAGGTACAAATAATTCTAAGTAACAAGAAGGCGCGTTATTAGAACGGTTTTCTAGAGCAAAACGAATATTGTTCTATTTTGTTGCACACGCCTATGTTAGTTTAACTCAAAAAATTGCTTCAAAACCACAAGAAGCCAGTTCACAAACTTCACGGGAACTTCTGAAAAACTCCTCGATTGTTTTTCAACGTTAACAGTTTGGCTGTGTGGCGTTTAGCTATAACGTTACACCAAATTTTGGTCAATAAAGTTTGCTTGAAGAGGTAGCTTATCTTGATGTCGCTGTGACGTCTTTGAATTTACTGGCCGCACACTCTCCTTTCCACGGTGACAATTTTCTACGTCTTCCAGGCATCCGACCACGAGAAGCTGAAGTAAAAGGCGATTTAGGAAAACAGTGCCGAAACTCTGAGAATGGAGGCTGAAACTGCACCAAATTACGAAAAAACAAATCATTAATTACTTGTGTGTTGGCAGGCTGTTAAGGTTAGCTAACAAGCTTGTGTCAACACAGATTAGCAAACCAAGCTGCAGCCCTCGCTAGGCTCTGTTGCTGTGGATGCTAATTGCAATTAAACCTAAAAAAAAGAGTACCGTTTGTTTATTTATTTATTAAGCAGCAGTCACAGCTGGAAGTGAGGTAATACAAAACGTGCCAGCATGAGGATTTTAAGGTTTCTGAGGAGCAGCGTGTCCATAGGGAAGGACATCGACTACTATTCCAAATTCTCACCATCCCCTCTATCAATGAAGCAGTTTCTGGATTTTGGTAAGAAGCTGCAAGACTAGTAGATATTTACTAACATAATGCTTTACTACATCGTTAACGATACTCTGCCCTAAAATAAGGAGAATCATCATACAAACTATATGGAAATAGAAAAAACAAACTAATGTAAAGTTAACCCGAGGATAACTGCCACACAAACGGTCCTAACACAGGCTTTTCCTTCTGTGATGTAAAGGTAGTTGATACCACAAGGATGTATTTCACAAGACGAATGATACTCTTAAATCATCTAGCCTCCCCTTATTACACTTCCTCGTATTAAATAGGAAGGGATTTTAAAGTATCTCTTAACACATGACTAATGGGATATATGCCCTGTCTGTGTAAGTCAAGCTTGAAGACTTGAATGTAAGAGTGAATGTTAGGCCCTTGATTGATTGGTTGATTTTCTCTATTTCGTACTGAAAATGGTCCAGTTTGCTGAAACTATGGAAGGTTTACAGTTATAAGAGGTTATGGAGCCTGAATGGTTTGGGGGTAGTTTTGCATCTGATATGTAATCCAGCCTTAATGCTAACTAGAAGTGGGTGACATGGAAAAACTTTTATCATGTTACATTTACAGGATTGTGCAAAAGTGTTGATTTATTTGAGTAATGCTTCTAAGGACCAGACTTTATTAGTGTTCATAGTAATCCTTGCATTTGTTTAAACTGGAAACTGGACAAGTAGGGCACAAAAAAGAAGTGCCAGGCCTAAAAACTATCTGCAGCAGATGTCTTTGTAGGTTCTCAGTCATCCTGTTCATGGTAGTTTAAGGAGCTGGGAAAGAAAGTGACTGGACTTCTATAAGTATCTTGAAGACATTTCTCCTCACATCGGAGAGGCTTCTTCAGTTCCAAAACCAAATGGCCGACAGTCCCAAGTATTCCAGTTTCCCAGTACATTTTTTGCCTTGTATATTTGTATTTATATGTATCTTTGCACATGTTCAGTAGCTTGCTCCACCTGTTTCCCATTTTTCAAGCAAAATTATTAAAAAATGTGCCTTTTGTTTCTCTCTCAGGTTCAGAAAATGCATGTGTGAAAACATCCTTCAACTTCCTCAGACAGGAGTTACCTGTGAGGCTGGCCAACATCATGAAGGAAATTAACTTGCTGCCAGACAACTTATTGAGGACGCCATCAGTCCGATTGGTCCAGAGCTGGTATGCAGGTTATCCTTTTTTCCCACTTAATTTTAACGAATTAACAGTATTTAACTCTTGCCAGTCTGTGAAATACAAAAAGATAATTTTCCCCCCATGTAGGTACATGCAGAGTCTTCAGGAGATTCTCGAGTTCAAAGACAAAAATGCAGACGACGAGAAAGTCACATATGAGTAGGTTTCCTCTTTTAACCACCGCAACAGCTCATCTATTCCTGCAGATTCTTTTCACGCATTGCCTTAACTTTTATGTCTTCAATTAGTTTCACAGATACTGTGATAAATATCAGAAATCGCCACAATGATGTCATTCCCACCATGGCTCAGGGCGTTGTGGAGTACAAGGAGGCGTACGGCACAGATCCCATCGTCAGCCAGAATGTTCAGTATTTTCTGGATCGCTTCTACATGAGCAGGATTTCCATCAGGATGCTGCTCAACCAGCACAGTGAGCACATGTTGTATTTTTTGTAATGTGATTGCTGAGCTGTACTTGTTTGGAAATGAAAGCCCTTGGGTTCAGGAGCCAGACTTCTGTGCTGAGAAGATATCTGAGGTTTCAGGCTGTCTGTGTCGTTTTAAAACTCCTGCTACAGTAAACCGGGAATCAACAGACCCCACCCAGTGTCATTTTCTGGCAGTTGCACGAAAACGAAATGACTTGTGTTTTATTTACAGACAGCAAAGACCAAAACAAGCTCACTTGCGTAAAGCTACGCTATAAAAACATTGTAGATAAATAAATAAAATATGGCTTATTTTGGACATCGCTAAATATCGGGAGTCATTCAGAAGGGGCTCAGAATAGAGTTTCCACTTTTCCACATCTAAAGGAGCCAGTTCAAGTGGTTCAGGCATCTGACCAGGATACCTAATCAATGCATGAGGTGTTTCAGGTATATCCTACCAGCAGAAGGCCCTGGAAGAGACCTAGCACACGCTGGAGAGTTTATGGCTCTCTTCTGGCTTAGGAACACCTCAATGTCCCCCTGGATAAATTGGAGGAGGTGGATGGGTAGAGGGAGGTCTGGGCATATCTGCTTAGGGTGGACTCTGTGACCTGAACCCAGATAAACAATGAGTGGATGGAATTTCAACCAAAGTTTTTATTCGAATTTCTGCATATGGCGACACTGGAAGAACTCGTTACGGCTCAGGTCCCCTCAGGATGGTACTGCTCATCAGTTTTGTTTTAGCTCTAATCAAAAGGTCTCACATGAAACCCTGAACTTACAGAGACAAATATCAGTAAGTATCAAGACTTCACAATGTTCATGTTGTGTGTTTTTCCTGTAGCTCTGCTCTTTGGAGGGAAGGTGAATCCTGCACACCCCAAACAGATTGGCAGTATTGATCCACACTGTCGGGTCAGCGAGGTTATCAGAGGTGAGACTTTCTTATATTTATAGAAACATGCCGGAGAAAAGTGTTAATCTACGCTGTTCTTCCAGTTTGCAAGCGCCATGTAACAAAAACAAACCACTTCCTTGTAGATGCCTACGAAAATGCAAGAAACCTTTGTGATCGGTATTACATGAACTCTCCTGAGCTGGTCCTGGAGGAATTCAATGGTAATTTATGTAGTTAGAAGAAACAACACAAACAGTTACAATGATGCCGCTCTTTGAACTGGTTAATGAATGAATTGTAACGTAATCAAATGTTTTCCAATCATCTGTTTGTCCTGATAGCCAAAGAGAAGGGGAAACCTGTCACCATGGTCTATGTTCCATCTCATCTGTATCACATGGTGTTTGAACTCTATAAGGTGCTTTTTAAAAGCCTGTATTCATATATGTCAGCATTTTATATTTCAAAATATCTCTTTTCCAATGTTAAACATTTGGATAAACACTTGTCACAGAACGCCATGAGGGCCACCATGGAGTTATACGGAGATGCCATGGAGTACCCTTCTATCCATACACAGGTTGCTCTGGGAACTGAAGATCTCACAGTCAAGGTAAATGTGCAGATAAACTCCTGTACAGTAAAGGTTAAAGCAGCAAACTTGGCATTGAAAACTCCTTCAGGTTTTTGTGTACGTTTTGGAGGAGCTTGTGTTTATTCATGCTGTTTGCTTTGTGAGGTGAGCGACCGTGGAGGAGGTGTGCCACTGCGTAAAATCGACAGGCTGTTCACCTACACGTACTCGACTGCTCCGAGACCCAGCATCGACGGATCTCGTGCTGCTCCTCTGGTGAATACTCCTAATTTATCATCACTAGTGACTGAATCAGTGTCAAAGAGAAATCAATCAGTGAGTGTTTGAAAATGGAAACAGCTGTACCAGCGTCTCCACAGCTGGGGTAGGTATCCAGCTATCCCGTATACGCCCTGAAGTTCTAGAGTTCCTTTTCGACACACATACTTGGCTTTTGCAGGGCTTTCACACGTCCCACCTATCAAAACAAAAAGCACTGCTGCAATTTTCCCCTATGTTCCAGAGAAAATCCACAGCCAGTCACTTTGTTCCAGTGAATGCTGTCTTTGTCATGGAGCTGCTCTGTTGTTTCAGACTTTATCTGGATGAACTCTGCTTCATTTCTCTTTAGGCTGGTTATGGGTATGGCCTGCCCATCTCACGACTGTACGCTCGCTACTTTCAAGGAGACCTCAAGTTGTATTCTATGGAGGGTTACGGAATCGATGCTGTGATCTACATACGGGTAACCCAGTTTCACAGAAGCAGCATTAGTGCCTCTTTTAGAGAGAAGAGCACATTCCTAAAGTATCTTTTTTTTTTTCTTTCCCCTTCAATCACGTTTTAGGCACTATCCACAGAGTCCATCGAGAGGCTCCCGGTGTACAACAAGTCAGCCTGGAAACACTACAACACCATCCACGAGGCAGACGACTGGTGCGTCCCGAGCAAAGAGCCAAAGGACATGACGACATTTCGTAGCTTGTAGATGAAATGTAAATGAAAGTGCGCAAGAGACGTAACCGAATGTGTGAGCGTGTGGCAGTAATTACATCAAACCCTTCAGTTATTTACAAACAAAGCTTAAAGAATAATAGAACAAAGTTTTAGTGCCATATAATCCACATGGAACAATGGCTTTGTTATGATCAGTACTTTAAAGTGCAGCAGCTCTTGGTTTTCCCCATTCATCTTAAATGTTAACTGTCATCTACCAGGACCAGGTTTCAACAAATGCAAGCTGTATGTTTTTTATGTTTTATATTTATATTCGACATGAAAAACTTGCAGGTGCAGAGAAATCAACAATTTAAACATACATTCATGTTTTCTCTTTAAATGATGAACAAGATGGTACTGCACAGCTGTCAGCGCTCTCTGGTGGACAAAGCTTGCAAAGGTGTCATGTTTGTCTGATGAGCTAAAGATCACCTGATGCGTTTATCAGGACATTTATCATTTTTGTGATGCTTTAAGAATAAGACTTAAAAGCCATGTTGTATTGTTTGTATTAGCAGAGGTCTCAGCAAAACAAGCGGTCTGCAGGGTTCAATGCCATCGGGGGTCGGAGGACAATGTATTAAAGCTCTGAACTCGCGTTTATGTGAGGTTGTCCTTACAGGTATCAGCAAAAGTTTAGTTTGCTTTGCTGCTCTGAAGCTTTTCCTTTGTCTGTTTTAATTACGGTGAACTTTAGTTTCTCCTGTTACAGTTTATCTGTGCGTAGAGTTTCTCTCCCCTGTTTTTGTGGAGTCTGTTACTTTGAAAGAAAAGCACAGCTGATGTGAAATTAAAAGCTTTGCCTTTTGTTAAGCTGCTGTCTTCTAAGCACTTCTCGTGTTTCTTTTGTTTATTTATTAGGGCATTTCTAACAGGGTATTGGTTAAAAAGTAACGTGATGGAAAAAAGGTTAGATTTGCTGTCTGTTTGTATGTATGTAAAACAAGTGCAATTGTTGTATTGCACTTGTTTTACATGCTAGCTTGAGAATGTTGGGGGTATTTATTGGGAGTGTTGCAGCTGGTGTGGTTTATTGGGTCAGTGTTTGTGGTTTTCTGTTATGCTTTAAAAGAAGATACTACAACCTTGAACTCTTTTCCACATGAGTCTTCTGTGTCCTATAAGGAAACTTAATACAGTATTTTAGTGCTGTGGTTGTATTATTTGGGCTCATTCAGCTATACTGACAAAAGTCCTTGTTTTCCATGTTACACTATCTGCAGTTGTCTGAGTGGATCATGTTCAGTATAGTAGGTTATTTTCCAGATAATTACTTTTGTTAAAATAGGTTTGTGCATGCAGAGTCGAGGTGAGACAAACTTGTTTATTTGTGATCACCGATTTCTGTCAAGTATGTAATTAAAACTGGAACACCAGCAGTTTGACTGTTGAAGGCATCAGATATGAAATCATTGCCATGGGGCAAAAGTTTCAATAAACAGTTACAAACACTGACTACTGCCTGTTTTTAGTTTTAGACCACACGTCTGCTGGATTGAGGCTTATGTCACATGTTTAACTCAGCCGGCCAATTGACTGATGTGCTGCCACGATGAGGCGTTTGTTATTGCTCTGACAGTATTGGTCAGAATGTAACTGGACTTGCACACAGTGATCTCATAACAAGTTTTCACACAAACCGAGTCCAAGAGAAAAATGGCTTTACTTTCTCAAGACTCACTCCTCCTCTATTTTTAGTCGAATGAAATTAGTGCTGGATACGACTTTTGCAAACTGCCTCAGCTACAGCAAACCAACGATGACAATAACATCACTTTCTTTACACTCACCTGTGAATTGTGTGCCAGATGAGCTACATCACTGACATCTGGTTAAAGCAGACTTTAATAGTCTGCAGCTGTATATAAAAGCTGTAGCAACATCTTAAGCAATCAGTCGAATATTCACCTCGTTACTTGGGTGGGTTTTGACTCAGGTCTGTGAAGCTAACCCTGAGACTGTTGTGCATACAAGCTTTGCTTTTTGAAAGAGCAGCAACA